AMRYMCMMRCRCACRYWCMCAGAGTCAATAAACGGGGSGRGGARTGAAAGAGGRGGGGRSGGGKGKGGTKGRGGSGGGGRGGGGRGGGGGGGGGGGGGGGGGGGGGGGGGGGGGGGGGGGGCAGACATATGAGAAAGGTAGAGAAAGGAACAGAAGAGTCTACGTAGACGGCCGTGTTTGTCTTTCGCAGGCATGTCTCTCCGCATGTGCGTGTGCGCGCGCGCGTGTGTGTGTGTGTGTGTACACGGCCGCGCTAGTGTGTGCGTGTGTGTGCGTGTGTGTGCGTGTGTGTGCGTGTGTGAGAGAGAGGGGGAACGAAAGGGGGAGGGGAGGGAGTTGGGGCCTATGCAACTATGCAGATTTCAATCTATGGGATCGAGAGAGAGAGCTCCTGCCGAGAGGATGTATCCGTCCGAAGCGCTGCGAACGACCATCATCCGTTTTGCGTCTGTGACCGGATGTCCAAGATGATGGAATCGACGGACGGAAAACTGTGAACGAGCGCGCTTTACTTAATACATCCAAAAAAAAAAAAAAGACTGCTGTTTGTGTACTTGTCTACGAGAAAATGAGGTGTATATGCGTGCGAGAGAGAGAGAGAGAGAGAGAGAGAGAGAGAGAGAGAGAGAGAGAGAGAGAGAGAGAGAGAGAGAGAGAGAGGGAGGCAGGAATTTGCCTCCGAGGCAAGGACAAGGAAAAGATATCAACAAATTAACAAGGCCGTGTGGCACGATCTCTTACACCACCTCGCAACTGATCCTAAAATCGACCATTCACCTCTGAAAAAAAAACAAAAAAAAACCGCCCCTTCTGGATCCTACAAACCCGCTCTACGCCCTGGGGTTATTTACCGAGGGTTGACTTTATGCTCCTGGAGACCCCTTTCCAAGTTTCAGTGTGAGGTAATCTCTTAAAAGCTACTCCAACAACAACTACCCAGCTGCGCGCACCACATCAACCACTAATAAAAAGAACCGTGAAAGAAAGAAAACAACAACAACAACAACAACAACAACCACAATATACGCATGCAATGCGTGCGCGCACAAGCATACACACATACACAGAGGCCCGGAACAACAAGAGGGGACATTTGATTCAAACTTAAAGAGAGAAATCGCGAACCGTCGATTACAAAGAGGGGAAATTCAGCTCAAACTTAAAGAGAGAAATCGCCTGGTGTGCTTCGCGATTTCTTCTGATTTCTTCAGAAAGAAAAAAGAAGAAATCGCGAAGCACACCAGGCGAAGGGGTAATCTACCCCTTTACCTCTTGCCCAACCGAAGGGGTAGATTACTCCTAGAACGTGGGTTAGTGCAGCCCTACGACGGTTAAAGTACCCCCTACCTAGCAAGTAAAAAATGGTCATCATTGCATCCTTCGAAAAAATGCCGGACCAGTTATTGCACTTTGACTTCTGTTGGAGATCGTCGAACGTGTAACACGTGTCACAGGTCAAAAAAAGGGAAACAGAGAAGAAGAAAAAGGATGGGAAAAGTTATAAATCCCCTCCGCGACAAAACGCTTGCACTCGTTTGCCCCCCCCCCCCTTTCCCCCCCTCCCCCTCCCATACCTCGGGTGGGGGCAGGGGGGGCGGGGGGGGGGGGCAAACAAAGTACAAACCTTTTGTCGCGGCGGGGATCGATAACTTTTCCTAAAAAGGATCGTGAGATGCGCATCGGTTAGAGTTGTACATCGCTATTAATAGAGAAGCATAATTCAGATCGCATTCTATTATTGTACTATTACTAATTAATTATTTTCAGTAACTAATTGATTGACCGAGTCCTCAAGCAGTGTAATTCATTCAACAAAAAAAAAAAAATAAWAATAATAATAATTAAAAAAAAAATCATTCAACACTCCCACACCATTTGCCATCCTAGCCATGAGATTTCCAGGAACACTCCCGAACTATTTGTCATCCCAGCCGGCCTTTCTCTCTCAATCCAGTCACTTCGCGGAGCAGCTGATGACTGTTCCTGGAAAGTTCATGGCTGTCATTGAAAAAAACTGTCGTCACTACTTACCATACCTTCCTCCCATTACACACACTAGCAATTCGCCCGCATCGTAAAACGACTGTATAATTTGCACTGTATAATTTGCACTGTATAATTTCCGTATAATAGAGTAGATATATTTGCGCCCGAACGTAATTTCCGATCATCCAAAAATTTCCGATCAGGGTTGGTACGCATTTGATTTCATTTTAGGATGATCGGAAATTACGTTCGGGCGAAGACGCCAGGTGACCCGCTGAGGTCGAGCAAGCGTCGAATTAAATTTTGTAAGACGCAACATGAATGTGTTCCAGACTGCAGATCACCGACGGATGCAAACCCTCCCTGCGCCGGTCCAATTACAGACATGGGGCGTCGCTCCACGACTCACCAAATGAGCAAAATGAGAATGAATCTTCCGCTAGAACATGGGAAGACACACCCCCCTATTTTTTGTCGTTTGGGCATGTGGTGAGGAGTGGCGCGAGGCCCATGATCTACATACAACAACGGACATGAAGACCTGGAATATGGGCTTGAGGCCCGGAAAATGGAAAATGAAACATGAAAAATGGAAAATGGAAATGGAAAATGGAAAATGGAAAATGGCAAATGAAAAATGGAAAATGGGAAATGGAAAATGGAAAATGGAAAATGGAAAATGGAAACGGCAAAGGGATCGGAAGAGGACAATGCAAACGGAAAACGAAACGGAGGTAGGCGATCTTGCATTCGCTATGTTACTACTTTGTCTGCGCTGAGGGAGTCTCAGGGAGGCGGAGAGATGGAAAAGGTGGAGAAGGTGGAGAAGGTGTAGAAGGTGGATGGACTCCGAGGAGATAGGAAGATGAAATTCGGGAGATGGAGGACATGGAGATGAACAGGGATCGGCAGCTTCTCTTCCGCTGCAATGCAGCTAGAGACAGGTCAATAAGTAGCGAGAGTCAGATGGAATTCCAGGAATGGAGAAGGGATGGAATTCGAGTAAGTGACGGAGAGGGAGACGATGGAGATGGAGATGGAGATGGAGATGGAGATGATGGAGATGCAGACGAGATCAAAAGCAGATGGGAGATGGAGAAGGTGATGGAGATGATGAAGATGGAAATGGAGAAGAAGAGCGGAAATGGAGAAGGCGATGGAGAGGGAGAAGGGGTGATGGAGATGGCGAAGGAGACAACAACTTGCCTCTGCGCGACTTCTCTCTCTGCTGTTTCACCCAAAAACACAATCGGTAAGAGCTGTTCTTCCTCTGAGATTTTGATTTCAGTCTCTGTCTGGCTCTGTCTATCTCTCTGTCTGTCGGTCAGGCGCCGCTGCTGCTGCTGCTGCTGCCCCTGCTGCTTCTAGTTTTGCTGTGTCTATGGCGTAATTGCAGCGCAGAGAGAATCGTTCGGATTTGTGTATCTACACTACCTAGTTTTCTGCAGTGGAGCGACTGGAATTGGAACTCGATTTATTTATTTTTTTTGTTTTGTTTGGGAACTCGAATGATGGTCCCTGTGGGCGTATCAACGGTAAGAACGATTAAAAATGGGATAAGTTGCAAAATACCCCCATAAATTCAGATATGTGCCGAAATGCCCCTGAAAGATGTGGGTAGAGCGGAATGCCCCTCTGACAAAAAGAGAAATACTCCTCGCGTAGGTTGCACCCCCCACTTTGTGGTATAGCCCTGCCGCCCCACTTTGTGATATAACCCTGCCGGGTACCACCAGCTTTGCATTATACCCGGAACTTTGCAACTTTCCTAAAGCCCAGTTGCAAAAGGCCATGCCCAAAAGGCCAGGTCCAGATAGCAAATTTGCACTGTGTACGGCGCACAGCGCGGAGGCGCAGCCTGGAGGGGGGGGCCGGAACAGAGAGCCCTAGACGTGCGTCAGAACGCATTACAGCGGTCTGCCGGACGTGAGGAGGACAGCTTTGGTGCGAAGGGTTTCGGGCATTTTTTTTCAGAGGGATAAATTGCAAAATACCCCCCGAAGTTGAGGTATATGCCAAAATTCCCCTAAAAGATGTGGGTAGAGCGGAATGCCCCTCTGACAAAAAGCAAAATTTGTGAAATACCCCTAGCGTCGCTTGGACCCCCATCTTTGCAATGGTAGGTACCGGGTACCGTCCAACTTTGCAAAATACCCCAGTACTTGCCAACTTTTCTTAGGTGCTATTGCAAAAGGCCAAGGCCCAAACGGGGAGGTCCAGATTGCAAAGTTGCACACCCGCCTGACAGGGGCACAACA